CGCCCGAGACACTGCCATCTACCATGTGAAACTTCCCACCTTTGCTTCCAACACTGCAGGAGCTGGGGAAAGGCCTGAACCAGCTCTTGGGTGGTAAACACTCTGTAGAGCCCCTCTGCTGATGTGAAGAAGGTTTCTCTGAGGGTGATCTTACCAGTGGGGATTTTGACACCAGCAGGCCTAACCTGGGTCTTTGAAGGAGGCAGCTGAGCCTTGTGCTCCTCAGCTTTCAGTGCCGATGCCCTGCCGGGTCCACTGACTCTCCATTCTCTGCAGGCAAGATCGTGCCCTGGGTGAACTCTGTTTTGAGGATGCTGGTGTAAATTCCCATTGCTTCTCTTAGAAGTTGCACCCCTTGGGAACCAGCAGTTAGCATAATGGCTATGTCACTGGACTCCCACGTAGTCGACCACGGTTCGCGTCCCGGACCCGGTGGCTTAAAACTCACGCCGGTGGTTTAAAACTCTCATCCTGAGAGGACAATGGAGGAGAAGGGATTGCAGAGTGACCATCCCCCCTGGGGGGTGATTTCTTGCTTTCTGTCTCTATGTCTCTCTCTGTTTGGCGAGCACACGCACCCTATAGCGAAAACCTCTCCAAAAAAAAAAAAAAAAAAAAAGTTGCACCCCTTCTTCTTCATTAAGGCCACAAGATTTGTGTCAGGTTCATCTCCGGCAAGGCTCACCCTAAGCTCTATTTCATCCATGCTGTTTTTGTCTGACCCATCGGGGATCTCCCGTGTACTGCACTCCTGACTTAGAGGTACCTGTCCAGTTCAGTTTGATGCTCCATTCATAAAAGAAGGTAAGCTTGCCTTTGTGATTGTTAATGAATGCCTCTCCGTCAAGCTGACTCACTTCTTTTTTTTTAGAAAGTTTTTTGCTATAGTGCGCGTGCGCTAACCAGAAAGAGACAGAGAGACAGAAAGTGAGAAATCACCCCCCATGTGGGATGCCATCACCACAATCCCTTCTCCTCCATTGTCTTCTCGGGATCTTGGGCATGCACGCACATGGGCCCAGCGTGAGTTTAAGCCACCAGGTCCGGGACTCGAACCATGGTCAGCTACATGTGAGTCCAGCGATATAGCCAGTACGCCAACCGCTGGTCCCGAGCTCACTCACTTCTGTCACCTCACACTTGCCTTCCTCATTTTGCACCCGCACTGCCAGGAACAGTGCTTTCAGCTTATCCGTGGACCAATTTGAAGCATCCCTCTCTGTCCAGTGCCAGTTGTTGACATTGGTGGCGTCTGCCCGCTCCTCCATGATCCAGCGTGGGTCGCCCTCACCCCCTTGGCCATCGGCTCTCCTATCGCTCCTGCACCAGCTCCCGAGAAGTTGCAGCCACAGACACAGCCTCAGGACCACTCGGTCCCAGCTGCCCAGCAGTGCCTGGAAACTACTAGAAGCGGCTGCAGCACCTCCTGGCTTGCTTTTCCCTCCACCCCGGAGTCCAGCATCTTTAACCACCACGCCACCTGCCGTCTTTCCCCCCACATTAATTTTTTTTTTTTTAAAAAGGGTTTGAGGAAGGGCCAGCACCATAGCCTAATGCTTAAGACAGATAGGTCCCACATGTCCAAGAGAGGTTCAAATGGTGGCCTCAGAAACTGGAAGAACATGCCAGGCAGATGTGTGTGCATGCACCAAATCCTGCCACGATGGAGAAAAGGAGAAGGGATTGCAGCATTACCACACTTCATTGGGGGGAATGCTTTCTCCCTCTCTCTGTGTCTCTCTGGCCTGCACATATTCCCTCTAACAACTAAAAAAGGGAAGGGGGCTTTCAGGAGAGAGCGTGTCCCAGGTGGCGTAAACTCACACCAGGCGCGTGTGCGTGCGTGCGTGCCCAAGATCCCGAGAGGACAATGGAGGAGAAGGGATTACAGTGTGGCCATCCCCCCTGGGGGGTGATTTCTCACTTTCTGTCTCTCTGTCTCTCTGTGTCTTTCTGGCGAGCACACGTGCCCTATAGCAAAAACCTCTCCAAAAAAAAAAAAAGGAAAGGAAAGAGAAGACATTCCTGTTCTTGGTGACTCCTTCGGCCATAGACCCTCACACCCCAGGACCTTCTCGGGCATTCCCGCAGTGGGGTTGCAATGACTCACTTCCTCATCGGCTCCATAGATGTCACCAAGGGAAGGACACTGGAAAATACTCTGAGTGAAATCACCAAAGAGCATTAGAACAAGAAAAAATACATGCTACGTTTTATTTAAAAAATATTTATGTGACACGATGTCTTTTATTTTTGTAAAATGTCACTTAATAAATATTTCACCAGGGTGATGAGGATGAATCATAAGGGTGGGGGAAGACCTTTGAAATGGAAACATTTTAAAATTTATCTTAAACCTCCATTCATCAGACTTGGCTTCTGCATCCGGTCTCCAACTCCAGCAGAGAAGCTGTCCTGATACCCACAGAGCAGACCTCTGTCCTGGGCGCCTTCAGCTCAATATATGGAGGACAGGTGGCAGCGACTCTTGATGACCTGCAGCAGAGGCTTCTTGAAGGTGAGGAAGATGAGGGTGCAGGCCACCAGCAGGGTGAGGCAGCTGGGGAGGATGAGCACGAGGTAGAGCAGGCCTGTGTCCACCTGCTCCCACTTACAGTGCTCAGACACGCCTCCGGGTAGCTCCACCACACGAACGACCTTGGAGGACAGGTTGCAAGTGACCATGGCCAGGTCGGCGACAGTGTGCAGGCGCTGCAGCGTCCCCCAGCCCTCCACCCCACAGCAGTCATACGGGTTCTGACTGAGGTAGATGGTCTGCAGCCTTCGCAAGAGCTGCTCGGACGCAGCGTGCTGGGGGAGCGCTGTGAGTGAGTTCCTGCGCAGATCCAGCCTCTGCAGGGCCGCGCTGCCCCTGACCCTGGGGAAGCTGGTCAAGGAATTTCCCGACAAATCCAGGTCTCTCAGATTGCCAAACCCAGAGAAATCCAGCTCCACGGTGCCGGAACCAAGGCCCACGTCCCTGAGGGACAGGACCTGTAACAGGGGGGCGACGTCCCGGAGAGGAGCGAGGCTCCCATTCAGAACCCCCCAGTTGCCGGACAGGTCTAGGTGAGTGAGGGCGGTCCCCTGGAATGGGCAATCTCCTAATGTCCCCAGTCCACAGCCCTCCAGAGAGAGGCTCCTCAAAGATGCCATATTCCTGAAATCTACACAGCCAGGGGCGCCCACCAGGTCTATGGAGGCTGGCTGGGGACAGAGTGAGATCTGATTGTGGCTCATGTCAATTGTAGTGATGTTCCCGGCGTCGGCAAAAAGGCCATTGGGGACACCCCGGAGCTGGTTGGAGCTCAGGTTGAAGGAGCGGAGGCTCCTCAGGCAGCCCGTGAGCCCCGGAGCCAGGCGCAGCTCTGACAGCTGGTTGTGGCTCAGGTCCAGCTCGGCGAGCGCGCCGGGGGGCTCGTGCTCCTGGATGTGGAGTGTCATCAGGCAGTTGTGGTTCAGGTTCAGGTGGGACAGAGAAGGCATTTTCTTCAGGAAGCCATCTGGCAGGTACTGGAACTGGTTCTGGCTCATGTCCAGGAAGTGGAGGTCTGAGAGGTCGCTGGAGGTGAACTCTTCCCAGAGGTTGACAGTGGTGATGTTGGTCACGTTGCCGTCCACGAGGAGGAACTGGGCCACCATCTCCCTGGGTGACGAGGCGTTGTACAGGTCCCTGTAGAAGCCCATGTTGTTGTCCCGCAGCAGGAGGGTGTGCAACTTGCTGCACTGGGGCAGGAGCGGGAAGAACAGCAGCTGATTGTGGGACAGGTCCAGCAGCTCCAGCTCAAAGGCGGCCTCCGCCCCGGATGCCAGGAACCACTCCAGGGCATTGTAGCTGACGTTGAGGACCCGCAGCTGCGTGAGGCCGAAGTCCACGATGCAGGGAAGGTTGTTATAGGCCAGGTTGAGGTGCCTCAGCTTAGTCAAGTCATCAAAAGCACCACCCTCAATCTCGAAGATGTAGTTCCTCTGCAGATCCAGCTCCCGGAGGTGCTCCAGGCCCTCAAAGATGGAGTCATCAAGCCTCATGATGTTGTTCCTCGCCAGGGACACAGACTCCAGTGAGGAGAGGTTCTGCAGCATCAGGGCCGCCATGTCTTCTGTCAGGGAGTTTTCGGACAAGTCCAGCCTCTGCAGACCCTGCAGGTCACGGAGGGCAGCTGCCGTCTCCTTGTAGTTCTCCGCTAGGTGGTTGTCAGCCAGAGCCAGGCTGCGCAGGTGGTCGTGCTCCCGGAAGGCGCCGCGGCTGACGAGTGCCAGGCGGCAGCTGTGCAGGCTGAGGCTTTCCAGGACAGGGTAGGGCTGCAGGGAGTGATTCCACAGGGCCTCCAGAGGGTTGTCATCCAGGATGAGCGTCTGGGAGTCGGGAGGGAGGCCGCGGGGCACTGAAGCGAGGTTCTGCCCTCGGCAGTCAGCGACTCCACCTACCTAGGTCCAAAAAACACA